AGAATGTGATTGCATTACTTATTGTCTGCATGAAATGCTAGTGGTGGCCAGAGTGAACATGGACTCCAGCGATCGGAGATTCAATAAAATAAACTCTTCAGTCCTGAATCATGTTAAGCTGAGGGCTGCCATCACTCTACCCATCTACACAGTTCTCCTTTACACTCGTGATTTAAAACTTGCAGATGGAACGGAGTTGGGTGCAAATGAACCAAGAATCACAATACACTGTATCTTCCCTGCCCTGTAATCAAAGTATTGTTATGACTGCTCTAGTCAAGCTTCTTGTTAACAATAGCCTCCATGATATTGTTGGTGAAAGCTGGCAATGGTATTGTCACCACAGGCCAGGGGAACAAGGTTTTATTTTGTTGCTGAAACGTCATTACGTAGCATCTGTGACACAGGTATAATAACGAAACATGTCAGTCCAAGCTTCAATGTTATTTAAGTCCTCTTACATAATCACTAGAAGAGTTGTGAACGAAGTTAGAAACATTAATATCATCAAATAGACCTTTTTCTGACATTACAATCGAAAGAACAGAAATTAGGAAGCAGCAAAAAGATGGTTAGGTCAAGAAATCTTCCTTGAGAAAATCCTGCAGTGAGATCTTGATGCTACAATAAAGTGGCCTTTGAACAAGCAAGATACTTTCCTATTGTCCTATGGTGTAAGTTTATGTCACACAAGCATTTTCCTATGCCCATTAAGCATTGTTAGAGTTTCTTGTTGCACTTCTCAGTTGAATGCTGCCTTCTGGTAAGACATATCTGACACTTGCAAGGCATTCTGCCTCTACATCATGTCAGAATCAAACCTGAGATGGTCTGGTGTCAAGTGATAACCTAAATGAAGCATTAGTTAACAGGCTATTGATGGATAGATACACATGATGACTTCTGCTATCATTTTATTGATAACTGTAAGGAGATCAACAGGTTGGTAATGAGATTAGATTTACCCGATTTTCTGTGGATCAGAATTGGGCAAACCTTACGTGACCGAATTGTGTCAGTGTCACAATTCTACAGGAACAGAGTGGCTGGTAGCATTGAGTTTTCTACCTTGGCTGCTGCAGTCTGAGGAATTAGAGTTAGAATGTCATCACACAATCAGCCGCTCCTTTATATCATGTGACGTGTTATGATATTGATAGAGATCAGATAACTTTTATAAAAAGAAATTCAAACTCCCAAATCAATAACTGGAAGAACTACACAAAAAATGTAATATTTTAATCAATAATTAAAACAGAAAAGGCTGGAGAAACTCAGCATATTTGGCAGCATCTGTGGAGTGAGAAACAGTTAACGTAGTTCCAAAGAAGAGTCATATTGGACTTTAACCTGAAGTTTCTCTCCCCCTCCACACATGCTGCCATACTTGCATTTCTCCAGCACTTTCCATTTGCAGTTCAGATTTCCCACAGTTACATTACTTTGCTTTCAAAATAAAAATAGCTTTTACTATATAAGAGCTGAAGAAAGCAAGTACTCTTAACATAGCACTATATTTCATCAACACATACCAGAAATCATTCCAGTAAACCAGAAATTCTCAACAGAACACTGTTCTATTTTTATATCCACCAATTGTTCCCTGATATTTTACAGGATCTTGAGGACCTATTCATTTCTCTTGGTGCCCAAACCAAGGTGTGCCACAACTTCCAAGGGCACAGAATGTACTTTGCGTAGGTCACTCTTGGTGGTGAAAGTCAGAGTCTCCTACACGGAGTACATTCTGTGGTCTTGCTTCCCTCAGTGATTTCTCTAAACTTGTTCCAACATGGAGGAATCTAGATAGGAACGTGGTTGAGGGAGTCAGATGGTAATAAGTACAGGTTTCTTGAAATTCCATTTGACCTAAAGCCATAAGACCATAGGGGATTCAATATTGAGGACTCTCCCAGAGTCACCCACACATCTCGATTCCACTGAATCAGTTTCATACGTCTGGTTGAACTTTTACGTTCAAAAAGCCCCATCTATTGGGAACTTTAGCAACATATCTGTATCTGTGAACTGCAAGAATATAATCAATATTTCAGGTAATCTTTTAGAATTAGTAGTTAACACATCAATAATAATTTGAAACTTATGAAATGCGTTTTTTTCCAAGACATTTCTCACATCACAAAAAATTCAGTGGTCTCACTTCAGATACTCTCTCAATCTATAGTGTTGTCTTTTCTGATGCACATATAAGCTTAATATTTTTCATCCAATTAGATTTTGTATCTGCAAAAACATAAACCAACTATCTGCAAAAACATAAACCAACACTAACTGGATAGAATATCTGACCAACTGTAAGAACCAGCATCCAGTTATTTGAAATTTCATTAAAAGATGGGACTGCCTTGTGTGCAGTTAGGACATTAGATTCATTATAAATCAGAATAAAACATTTGCTTTCAAGAATAATACTGCTAGAGGGAAGTTTGTTACTTCTCATTTGATTCAGAAGTATTCCAATTGTTTTTAGTTAGTAACGGTAGAAATTTCAAGAAAACTCCAGGACACTGCAATTTGTGCAGTTTTATCAAAGTGTACTTTCAAACATTTTTCCATGAATCAGAAAAAAAGTCCATGTTGGTTTATTAAGGTAAAGGCCTCAAGTTAAAAGTTCCTCTTCAGATTTTAAAAAAATCTTTAGTTCATGATGGCTATCGCTTCAAGTGTTAACTGTACACAATTTCTATTGCATCATTAGTTATACAAAGTTAATTGTTCTGTGCAAATATCCCACCACTGCCAAATTTGTTTGCCAGCAACTAATGAAACTGGAATATGGTGGTGAAATTCACCCGAAGAAAAAAAGATTGGTCAAGTTTACAAAGTTGACAACACTGCTGCAATCATTTTCAACTCATAGCAAACACAATCTAAATAGCCAATCTTTGGACAAAACTGGATCTACTCCAGTGGGAATAATAAATCTCTGAGAGAGCTTGGTCTTAAAATAATGTGGTGAAATTTTACTACAAATTCAACTACTCTGTAAAATGTAGATGTCATGTGCTGACCTACACATTTTCCAAACTATTATTGGTCACTTCCTATTTTCAGATTTTCTCTGCACTAATTGATAGTTATTTCAAGTTTGATCTGTACATAGCATCAATGCTTAAAACATTGCCATATTAGTTCCAGTGGCACTGAAAATGAAAAGAAGAAGAAATAATCTCTCTCTCCTTCCACCCCTCCCTGTTTCTTTCTCAGGCCTACACATGTTTCACTTGCTATGTCCTATGCCGAGATTTTGGAGCCCAAAGGCGGAGGGATTTGGGAACACAGGACGGGGGCAATGTTTTGTGGTGACTGACTCTGTCCCATGAATGTGAAAGCTCGCTCAGATCAAGTGATTCTGTGTTACTAGATGTTCAAGAAACGTTCAGACACAGTAGTGTTTAGGGGACAATAGAAGACACCCCTTTCAACATTTCCTAGATTGTCTGAAGTCTCTGACTCTAGCTCGACTCTGGGAACTTCAGCGCAAGTCATTCTATTGGGTACACATTCTATTGGGAATCACAAGATCAGCTTCAAGAGCTGACTGATGAACCTATTGCTGATCTGAACATCCAAGCTCCGCAGAATCCTAGAGATCACGACGGAGCTGAGGCTTTCAATAGCATGAAGGGTGTATTTTATTTCCAGGTCTTGCCAGGAGTTACAAGGAGGTAGTAAGGGCAGGGAGAATGGTTTTCACTAACCACCCACTTGCCTGCCTAGTCCTGACTTGGCTGGCAGGCTGTCAGATAGGAAACTAGTGCTCTTTCTCATCTGCTGGTAAGACAGATAGTTGGGCTGATGGGAAATGGAAGCTATTAACTGACTGTTCATTAACTGAGGGTCTTACATGTTGGCAAGTCAGAAAGGTACCCAATAGAATGACTTGCGCTGAAGTTCCCAGAGTCGAGCTAGAATCAGAGACTTCAGACAATCTAGGAAATGTTGAAAGGGGTGTCTCCTAGTGTCCCCCAAACACTACTGTGTCTGAATGTTTCTTGAACAGCTAGTAACACAGAATCACATAAGAAATGTGTAGCAGTGTCAGGGGGAGGGGAACTGCAGTTTTTACAGCTAATCCACCCATCACTGCTGTTGCTGGTCAGAAGATTCATACCAATCTGTAACCTCTCACTTTTGTACATGAGCATCTAAATCAATACTGCCAAAACCTGGCTTATAAATCCCAAGTCAAAGTCTCAACATCATGAGACTTGGTATAAAAAAAAATTGCCATTATTTTTCAAAAATAAACCAGTACAGACAAACAACCTTTTTTTAAAAAACCTGGTGTTTTTTAAAAACAGACTACAGATCCTTACAAAGTTTATATTGCAGCATCTGAAAATGGTTTACAAAGAATTTTTTAAAATAATACGTTTTATCCCCACACATGGATCTACACTCTTACCAGTCACTTTTGGCAGAAAGAGCTACCACCTTATAAACTGAGATCTAATCCAGGTGTCCCAGCTTAACGTAATGTACTATGTATCAAAAACACAGCAGAGTTCAAAATAAGATAGTGGCAGTTAAGGTCATACTAACATAATTACAATAACACAAAAGGTAAATTTCATCCAGCCTATCCCACACAATTGCAATAAATTGTGTAACACTACATGCCTCAGAAACCCAACTGGACAAGCCATACAAATAGAATGGTTACAAGAACAGGTTAGAAGCTAAGAAATCTGCAGTAACTCACCTCCTGTCTCCCCAGTGTGCCTTGTATATTGTTGACGGGCTAAGAGTATTATGAAATACTCCCCATTTGCTTGGATAAGTGCAGCTCCAACAACAAAAGAAGCTTGACACAATTTAGGACAAAGCAGCCTGCTTGATTGGCACCCCCATCCACCAACATCAATATTCACTCCCTCCCTTCAACACCATCACTCAGTAGTAGCAGTCTGTACTACCTACAAGGTGGCACTGCATCAACACAGTGAGACTCCTTCAACAGTATTCTCTTGCCTTCTCCCCATAATTCTCAATATAAAATAATTTAATAATTAAAAATTTCAGATTGGAATCCAACGTGCAGAGGGATTTAACTTTTCTAAAGCATGTGTCATAAAAAAAATGTTAGCATGCAGGTACAGTACATAATCAGGATGGCTAATGGCAAGCCATCCTTTATTATGAAAGGAATAGAAGGCTATGATGCTCTAGTTATACAGGGCATTGGTGAAACCAAACCTCAAATAGTGGTGTACAAAATTAGACTCCTTAAATAAAGGAGGATGTAAATCTGTTGGAGGCAGCTCAGAGGCGATTTACTAGACTGATACCTGGAATGAGGTGGTTGTCTTGTCTTATGAGGGTAGGTTTGACTGGAGTTAAGAAGCGTGATGGCTGACTTGATTGAGATGCACAAGATCCTAAATGATATTGGCATGGTGAAGATGGAAAAATGTAAAAAAAAAGAGAAAAACAGTAAGTAGTTAACATGAGTGAAGCAGAATGTAGGAATTTGAAAAATTGGGTAAAATAAAGGGTTACCTCTCCCACATGTCACCAAAAAACACAAGGTTTTGCTACTACGTGACTGTATCACTAAGCAAATGAGTTAGTGAAAATGAAAAAGAAATACCTGAAAACCAAAAAGTAGGCCTCAGAATAGTAAAAAAAAAATTGTCCTCAAGAGGAGCCTTTTTTGGGTGGGAACGGTGCCTGAACCATCTTCCTAAGCAAACTTCACAGCAGAAAATCCTAATATTTCACAGTGCTCTCACAAGATTCTAAATGAGGCTGAAATGAGACTCCAAAATCTCAACACTTGCAAATATGTGGCGGTTGGCATATCCGCTTTATGCACTTCAATGTACTTTTACCAATTTATTAACATTGCAACTTGCTTCAAAAATTAAGAAACAATCAAATTGAACTTTTTCAAACGGACATGATCCAGGCTGACCGTTCACAAAGAGTCAAGGATGTAAAAATTATAGCAAACAATTAAGTTAAATCAGGGTGCACATTTACTACTTCAAGTGGTAGACAAATGGTATCATGCAGAGATTCTCTTTAAAATAATTCTTTTGGCCACTTCAAGGTCGAGTTAGTGTCAGAACTTTTAGATCATGTAAATCACAAAATTTACATTGTGGGCAAATTGCACTGGTGACCAAAACTTCTCCTATGAAAACATATTTTGTCTATATATCAACTTTTCATGGTATTTTCCAACATGATCAAACCAGATTGTAACATTTCACGAAAGCATACAAAATGATCACACTTGTACAAAAGCTTTTATAACTTCCATTATTAATTGATGTTTCTTTCAAAAAATATTGAAACTCTGACGCTACCAAGTTGCTGCTCTTCAAACATAATTAAAATAAGAACAAACTGTTAATTCCTTCTATCAAGATTACACAAACAAAAGTTAGCACACTTTCCAGAAACTATGATGTCAAATGCTCTTCTTGAATACTCATCAACAATTAAGAAATATTGTGTGAAAATCAGCTGTCTGCATTTACCTCCAGATCCCAGCTGTTTGTAGAACCTATATTCCAAGTGAAGTTGCGGTGCTCTGGACTTCATAGGTTCCTAAATTTGAAACAAAATGTTAGCTTAAGCATGCAAGTAAGTAAACCTATGGATAATGTTAGTATTTTTATTGCATTTTGTTACATCAAATAATCACTGTATTTCACACAAAAAAAATGCAGTGACATATAACATAACCAGAGCAGTGGGGCATTTTACTACAGGGACATTTTACTACATGAAAAGGTGGCTCAGTAACTGCTGTTAAATTCAATATCGAAGTAGATAAGTCTGTACACAAGATTGTTTAAATTTCCCTGTTATTCCTTGCTTTAATACTAACAGCACCATGATAAATTGAACAGGTTAGCTCTTAGTTGCAATTATCTAGATATCACAGAGTTACAAAATTCAAAAAACTGCATCAGTATTCCAGTGACATTAATTTTACTTTTAGAAAAAAAACCATGTGTTAATCAAACGGACAACTGTATTCACATTTTGGCACAGCAGATCATACAAGGCTTCACTATTGTATCTATAGTCTAAACCCAACAGGAATTAGAGACTCTCACTCAAAAAGAGCAGTTAGCTGCTACTTCTTTGTCATTCACTTTGTACAAATCAATGTTAATCAGTGCTCTTATCCCCGCAAGACGTACAGTTTGCGCATTATGACATGCAATATTGAACTACAGATTTGAATTTTATATTTTTGTTCAGCCTATGTGACCGATTTTGGAAAATCCAAACCATGCCAGCAGATGTCATTAGAATTGGGCTCTGCATTCATTCTATCACATTAGTGCATTTGACACAATGTTTATAAGGAGGTTCACTCATTTATAAAGTTATCAAAAAAAGTATCAATTTCACAACTGCACAACTGAACAAAAATTTCCTTCACTTATTAAAATTAGAATTAGAATATCCTTTATTGTCACATGTATTCCACTGTAGAAGTACAGTGGAAAGCTTTTACAACGTCTGCCTCTCATGGTGCCATCTTAGGTACAAGTACCGAGATACAAATCTTGGATACAAAATAGGAATAAAAAGTAGTTACATTACTTTACAGAGTTTGCACACATACTAAAAATTTGACCTATCACCAATCTCTAAAATCATGAATTGAATGTATCTATTACCACATATAATATTTCACACATGCCGAGTAAGTACTTTAAGGCTGACCACAAATATAACAGTTCATTAATACTCCTTGTATTGTTGATGGAGGCAAAGAGGAAGGGGAGGAGACATTGGAAAAGGTTTTAATGAAGAGAGTTTGCAGTATACTCATGGTTTGCAGCAACCATGAACCATCAGTTCAGCATTTTTATGTATGTGCAGTAGCCAATCTATGCTTACTGTAAGCCATCAACATTAACAGCAAATACACAGCACAAAAATAAAATCAAATCCAAAACATTAAGAAGACATGACTGTGAGGTAAGTGAGAGCATTCACTATTTCTTCCCTTGTTTCTCTTAGCAGCCAGGAAACATTTTATCCAGGCTTCAAACTGGCCCTACATTTGCCCTAATTATCCTCTTGTTCTTTAGGCATTTATGAAACATCAGCAAGAAGCAAATCTAACATTTCTTCCTGCAGGAACTCTGTCAGAAAAAACAGGTTTTGAGCACAAGAGGGATAAAACTACTTCATATTGAAATTACTCTCCCAGTCACAAAATGCTTCCCTTAAAACAATTCTGAATAAATTTTAAAGTAACATCCCTAAAGACTACACTGATACTTAATGTGGACATCTTGAATACTGTAAACTGAATGTTAACATTTGCCTTTTAAGCATAATTATCACAAATTCTTCCGTAACTTGCATTTTACTGAAAGAAATTCAACAGTTAAATAGGATTTACTATGAATACATTCACTACAGCAGCTAAACACAGCAACATTAATTTCTGACTTACCAGTTTAATTGCCACATATTCATTTGTGTACAAGTTTTTACCTTGAAGAAAAGAAGAAAACAATTAGACTTATTTTATATTTTATTGTTGTTTTGACAGTGCAATAATGTAAACAATTATTCTGCCAATCAAAAATTATGCATTCTTTAATACTGCTACCAAACAACCACAACCATTTTAATTGGTGCATTTATGAAACACTGTATGAAGTATTGCTAGAAAATTCATTAAACCAAGTGTGAATACGTTTTGCAAAGATGTTTATTGAATACAGTTACACAGAAACGATGGAGAGGATGATTGGAGAATATCAAGGGAACTAAAAGCAGAATGAACCTTGAATTTCCCCATTGCTCTTCCTGGTGCATCCACATAATAGAAAGAAACACCGTTGTGAATGTTTCTAGCTTATTTTTCCTAGAAATCTGGTCAGATAAGAACAGAAAGCAAACACTCTGGCCAGTGTGTGTGGAAGACCTAGCATTAAAGACAACCATTCACTCGGACAGACATCAATTTTCATGCGAGATATATATAACACAAAAATAACAAAATCTTAAAAACATTTCACAGATATCCACTGATAGCAAGAACTGCAGATGCTGGAGTCAGAGACAACACAGTGTGCAGGTGGAGGAACACAGCAGGGCAGGCAGCACCAGAGGAGCAGGGAAGTTGACGTTTCAGGTCGGGACCCTTCTTCAGAAATGATTTCACAGATTTCAGAAATGTATTGTCACAAATATCCATGTTTTTTTTTTCTCCCTCCTTGGCTATCATACTAAAGAGAGAGTCTGAAGGTATGATTAAAGAGAAGAGCTTTAACAAGCAGCTTAAAAAAAGGCAGCACTAGACAGCCAAAAGGTGGAGCAAAAGAAAGGGAGACACACAATACAGCATGAGAGAAAGAGAGGGAAAAGGAGGGGAGGGTGGGAAAGAAAGAGAGGGAAAAGAGGGGGGGACAAGTGAGCCAGGAAGGGGAGAGAGGAGGAGAAGCTGATGCAAAACAAAGGGAAAGTTGGAAAAGGACTGTTCACGATTTGCAAGGAGACAAATATAGTTTGAAAAATAATTTTCCTGAACAAAACCATAGGTGATCAACTGCATGTTTAAAAATAAATACACTCCCACAAATCTTCTGCTGTTGCAATCTGTGACTCATTATGTTCCATTCACCGACCACCCCTGTACTTGCTGATCCACATTTAGCACCCTGTTAAGCAATGCCTCAATGTCATAAGTTTACAATTAAAAAACAGAAGAATATTGAAGATGGAGGAAATCTGAAGTAAAGACAAAGAATGCTGGAAATACCAAATAGGTCAAGCAGCAACCATGAAGAGCAAAATACACTTCATGTTTCAGGTCTGTAACTTTTCATCAGAACAGCACGTAGTAAGATCAGGTGAGTCCATTCAGCTGAGTAAACATTAACTGGCTTTGTTGAGCAATAACCGATTTGGTAGAGTTTCTAGAGCCTCCAGATTCAAGTTCCGGTTCCACATGCCAGTGCTCAGCCAGTAGTAGCTGTTTTGGCACATTTTCCACCTGAGCATCAGGGTACACAACCCATCCAGCTACTGACTTTTTTTCTTTTTAAAAATTAAAAATCAAAGCATTCCTGTTCGTTCAAGCAATGCCATTTGATGTTTGGAAAAGGTATAATCTGAGATATTGGTGCCTCGCAATCACAATGCCTTCTCACTGCTGGCCCCTGACCCACACCTCAGCTCCTTTTTCCATTATGTGCAGGTCATGAACCATGCATCTGAGTGAAAGTCGAGCTAGGTCTGCTCTATAAGTGTTCTTTCCATTGTGGTTCTTCAAAGTCCTGCCCATTATACATGGTTTTGATGTCTGGGAAAGGGAAAGTTGTTGGGTTTTTAAGACTGTAGTCCATCAAAATCTGGCATGAGGCAAAACCATTCTGTAATTGTGTGGAGTATCGTTGAATAGGATGAATGAAAATTTTCACACTTTCTTAGGAAGCTTTTAAATGGTACATACCCCTCTCTAGGTTTCATTGTTTGCTTGAAGGCATCTTGCTTAACTTGGATTGTGGACAAATCAATCTAAGGCCATAAAGGATTGGAAATTGTGGCCCATTTTCACAGATGAATATACCCAGGATTGTGTGAAGAAAAACATGGCTTTCAAAGGCATTGGAACTGTTTTCAAAATTAAGAAGTTTATTTGACTAAACTCGATCCACTTGAATAATAGTTGATCAGGATAAGAGAAAACATTCTTGGATACTTTCAGATCAAAGTCAAGGCATTTCCATGGTTTAGACGGAAATGAGAGAAGAGGAAGTTCATTCTGCTCCTATTAGTTGGAAATCAAGTGCTCAATGAAGTGGCCTCCATATGGATTGCCCCTGGTGAATGTGACGGACATTATTCAGTTGTGGAAATCATGGGAGGTTGGACCTCGCATAATAGGCCAGAAGTCATAAGGTTCAAATCATACAGGTTTAAATAGAGGATCTGGATTGGCGCAGGCTTGGAGGGCTGAAGGGCCTCTTCCTGTGCTGTAATTTTCTTTGTTTGTTCTTTGTTCATCAATAATGCTGAAATGCCAGAGTTGATCAAAGTACTGCCTCAGGAGACAGCTACTGCAGATCAAGATAGAACAGCCAGATCTACACAGTTTCATCATCACACAATTGTGGCTGATAAACGGTCACTGGTTAAGGTCACAAAGACCTTGACTTCCATGAGATCATCCCTCATTCTTCTAAATTCCAGTGAATATACTCGATCGCGTAAAATTCACTGGTAGTGCTAAAACTTATCATCAGGAGGGATGGGCTATCTTAGTTACAAAATTAATTAAAGTTATTAGTTCACTAAAACATTAGAAATGGCAGGGCAGGAGATGTGCTGCAATTGCCAAATGTTGGACCTTCTGGATGCCAGTTATATTCAGGTTAAAGACAGTTGTAGCAATTGACTGTGACAACATTAACGTGGGTTCAGAGCTAACATATCGGCTATGATCTTACTGAATGGCAAAACAGGCTTGAAGGGTCAAAGGTCCTAATTCTGCTCCTAATGCATGTATTCACATACAAGATAAAGGGCAATAATAAAGATTAAAATGTTGCCACTCCAAATTGTGGGAAGGGGGTAGGGGAGAGGAAAGCAATCTTTTTACAGGAAAATCTAAAGTGAACAGCATTCGCTGAACTAGCCAAAAATTTAAAGTTAATGTACTAGAATACAGTACATCTGAGAAAGATACAATTTCTTTATTAGAAACAGTGGTAACATTGATTAAAATCAACACATGCTGCAGAGCAGACAAGGGATGCACAGTCAATATGGATGGACCTCAAAAAGATGTTAAATTTCATGTTATATTAAAACATGTGAATGACAGACTTTTAATGATAGAATAGAAAGGTAAGTGGGACTAGCTAAATTGTTTTTCGGCGAGACTTCTTCTCATTGAGGAAGCAAATGGAGAAGGGAATAGATTCCTAAAATTTCTACCCTTTCTCAAACAGTATGCTGACATATCTTAAGTGGGTCAACATATTATTAGATGTGGTTACAACTAGTGAGTTAGATCAGGTAGATATGTTGGTGTAGCCAAGCCATTGAGTCATAGAGCTGTCCAGCATGGAAACAGACCCTTCAGTCCAACTCATCCATGACGACCAGATATCCTAAATTGAGCTAGTCCCATTTGCCAGCATTCGACCCATATCTCTCTAAACCCTTCTTATTCATATACCCATCCAGGTGTCTTTTAAATGTTATAATTGTACCAGCCTCTATTACATCCTCTGGCAATTCATTCCATACATGCACCACCCTCTGCGTGAAAAAGCTGCCCCTCAGGTCCTTTTTAAATCTTTCTCCACTCACCTTAAACCTGTGCCCTTTAGTTTTGGACTCTCCTATGCTGGGGAAGACGACCTTGGCTATTCACCCTATGCCCCTCATGTCTTTATAAACTTCTGCAAGGTTACCCCTCAGCCTCTGACACTCCAGGGAAAATTGATCCAGCCTATTCACCCTCTCCCTGTACTTAAAACCTTCCAACCCTGGTAACATCTTTGTAAATCTTTTTGGTACCCTTTCAAGTTTGACAACATCCCTCCTACAGCAGGGAGACCAGAACAGTATTCCAAAAGTGGCCTAACCAGTATATGGTCACTGCTCCCAATAATGCCACCTTTAAGATTCAATTAAAAATTAAAACAGTCAGTACAAAAGTAAAGCACCAGCTTAGATTACAGAGGATCTGAGAGTGATGTGGAATGAGTTGGCCAAAGTGAAGCAGAAGAGGTTTGCACACAGGACTGACACAGCAGCAGCAGTTCTATTTCTTTTTCTAAAATATATTGCAAATGTAAATATCAAATATATTCTATCAAAACAAAAGACTTGATTTCCAGAGGCTATGTATAAATAAAGCACTTAGAATGCAATTAAAATTGAAGTAGTAGACTATGATACAAAGTAAAAATAAAATATGAAAATACAAGTTAAAAATCTGAATAAACAAAAAGGCAAGGTGAAAATTGAAGGAAAACGCGTCAAAAATATCAAAAGAAACAGTAAAATGTTTTACAACTGTGCCGATAAAATGAGGTAAAATCAAACTGGGATCCATGAGGAAATGATTGTACAACTTGCAAGATCACAAGCCAATATTTGTTAAGCTAATGAATAAGTACTTCACATGAGCCTTTACTAAAGAGAAAAATAGTAGCAAAGAAATCATGAACCCAAAAGTGACTGAGACAAAGGCATGTAACAGAACGCTGGATAAAGGAAAATGTTGGATAAGTTAGTTTGGCTAAACAAGTTAATGTTTGTTAGTTAAACAGGCCCAATGGATCATGACCTCAGACGCCGACATTGATTAAAGGAGAAAACGGTGAATGCTCAAGAAATACTATTTAAAATGTTATGCTTCGGGACAGCTAACTGTTATAAAACTACTATATAAATTCAAGTTATTACTGTTTTTGTGAACATAGTTATGTGCCGGGGACCTGCAGTTTTACAAATAAGGATAGCACCAATCT